TGTGTCTGAGCTTTAGCCCACTCACAGGAATATGCCCAAGCCAGAGAAGCTTCCTGTCAACGTTCACCCTTGCCATCATCTGTTATGAAAACTGGAAGAATACCTCCTGCTGACACAGATGGTTAATGGTCCACAAGGAATAATGGTCATGAGATCGTAGTGGGTGAAAACCCTGGTTCCGGTCAGTGCTGATATGCTTCTCCCTAGTAGTCAGCAGTAGTCCATCTTTGGCTTCAGCCCCTCTAAGTGCCCATTTCAGGGACAGACTGCAGCTGCAAGTGCCTCTGGATCGTCATCATCCACCCAAACCTGCCTGTACTTAATTTACCCAAAATAAACTTCATAATCACACTTTATGAAGTTGCCTACTTCCTTTTTCCATCTCAAATTTCCTACTCAGTTCAGTGAGCACTTTAGTTTCCCTTCCTACTTGGAAAATAGCCTCTTCAAGAATTGATCTCAGGGAAATACATTCCTTTTCAACTGTCTGGTCACCTCTCAGCCCATGCCTCCACAACATTTCTTTCTAGCATCTTTATGCCTCGCTATACAAGAAAGTCTCTTTCCTCCTGACCTTTCAGACGAATTCACTAGACCTCTTGGCAAAATTCAGCACAGTTGTCCAATGTCACTTTCTCTGAGCATAATGTTCTCTTGAATTTCAGGGCACAGCATTCCACTGGTTTTCATCTCGTATCTCTGGCTGCTCTTCTGTTGGCTCTGAGTTGAGGTCCTCCTCCTTTTTTAGCTGTCATCTTAATGGTAAAGGTCATAAATAATGTTCATAAAGATTATGGTTATGCTCCAAGAGATAAATGAGCTCTCAGAGCCTCTTTTTCTCTCCTTCTCTTCTTCCTTCTCCTCCCCCCTCCCCTCCCTCTCCCTCCTCCCCTTTTCTTCTCTCTCACCTTCTCTCCCTCTCTCTCTCTCTCTCTCTCTCTCTTTCTCCCCCGTCCCTCTTTCACATTGATTGTATTCTTTCCCATGACTTTAAATACCATCTCTATGCAAAAACTCCCAAATTTATATCTCCAACCAAAACTTCATTTCCTGCCCCAGTGTGTCTATCTGTCATAGACTAAATTGTGCTCTACCCCTAAAACTCATATGTTGAAGACCTTATCCCCAGTAAGTTAAAATTTGGCCATATTTGGAGATAGGGCCTTTAAAGAGGTGATTAAGTTAAAATGTGGCAGTTTGAATAGGCCTAATCCAATCTGACTGGTGAAGAGAATCTGACTTAAGAAGAGAAAATTGATACACGGAGGGATACCAGGGATGGATACACACAGAGGAAACACCATGTGAGGATGCAACAGGCTACCATCAGCAAGTCAAAGTCTTGGAAGAAACCAAACCCGCCAATACTTTGATCTCAGACTTCCAGCCTCCAGAACTGTGAGAAAATGAATTTCTATTGTTTAAACCCCTTAGTCTGTGGTATTTGTTATGGCGACCCTAGCAAACAAACACAATATCCAACTGTTTGATATCTACCTTGGAGATGCCACAGGCATCTCAGCATATACTCGTCCAAACTTGACCTTCCTCAAATCTTCTCCTCCCCATTAAAGGTGCCCACCATCCAACTACTTGATCAAAATTAAAAACTAAGAGTGGTTCTTGATTCTTCCCTGTTCAATATTACCAAATCCTTCCAATTATTCCAGTGAAATACTTATTTACATTGCTAACTTTATGGTTCAGATGACTATTACTTCTTGATTGGCCTAATAATGTATGTTCATAAATTATCTCCCTGCTTCCATTCTTATCTCCCTAACGGACACTCTCCACTCAGTAGCCAGAGGGCTTTTACTAAATATTTGGTGCAGCTTTCCACTCGTCCTCGGAGAGAAGGAAGGTTGATCCAAATTCCCTATCCTGACGTCATGTCCAGATCCAGAGTCCCAACACCATGACATCTTATCTCTCCTCCTTCCTGGCCTTTGTCTTCTTCTTTTTTTTTTCTTTTCAATGACATACTTTTCTTATGAAATCCATTTCCCTATTATACCAAAATCTTGGCCTGATAATGTTCTTCATCCGTCCACCTGTATGATGCATGAACTTCAGTACTTCCAGAAGCAACAGGTGACTCTCACCGTTGAGACATTCTTGTCTAGGAATTTGAGTCCTGGGTGCCTTTGAAATCCAACACATGCATCTTATTAGCTACCTCATTAGGTACATATGGCTCATAAGTAAAGACGGAAAACCTGGCTTTTCTGCACCTGTCATCCTTTTCCTCCTCTATCTCCTCTATGTTTTATCCCCAGCTTACTCTCCCTTTCTAGAACATTCCCACATGAAAGCAATGCTTTCATTCAAGCCAACCTTTTTACTGCACTAGGAGGTAAGGGAGGGTTAGAAATGTGTTGGTGATTATCCAGGTGTCCTCGGGGCTTAGCACTGAGCATAGAACTTTGTGACAAGCATCACAATAGGTGCTTAATAATTCTTTGTTAATTTGAAAATGACATTTTAGCAAATTTGGGGGGTTTCTGAAAAATTAAGAACGATTTCAGGAAGAATTCCAAGGAGCTCTGCCAGATCCCAGGAGAAGTCTGGACGCCTACTTTGCTTCACACAGCGCCCATGTCCTGTCAGGGGCCAAACCCCATGTGTGGAGACCACTCCTGCCTGTGCCTCGGGCAGCTGTGAGGGGCCCAGGGCTGTGGCATCTAACACACAGAGTGCTTGCTGTGTGAAATCACCTCCCACCTCGTGGAAACTGCACAGATGGGGAAACTGAGAGAAAGAGGCTGAGTAACTCGCACACAACCCACGTCTAGTAAGGGGTTGACCCAGGATTCAGCCCCAGCCATCAGGGTCCAACAGCTATGCTGATAACTGCTATTCTAGGAGGGTCTCAGCTCCCAAGAGAGGAGTTGCTACACACCCCTAGTCCCCCATCCCACTGGAATCACTCTCCTGGTACTCCTGAGAAAAACAGAGGTCCCAAGACACTCAGTTCATTAGCCAACTCTTCTGTTACTTGCATCTCAAAATAGGCTAAAAGGCGGGGTGATTTCATTGTTATCACTAGCTACCAAATTCCATAAGGGCAGATCTGAAGCCATTTCCCATCTTGTGTTCCTCACTGTACGCATTTTTGTCCAGAGAAGATCACTGGAGTAAGACCAATAAATAGCAAGCAGATAAGCAAATAAAATATTCTTAAAATATTAGGATGCTCACCTAGAAGCAAAATATCTTGACTTTCATTAACTTTCAATATAGAATGAATTAATCTAGAAAAAAATTAATATGGGAAAAAGCTGCATTTTTAGACTCTTAAAAATATACTTAAATGTTTTTATTTTTTCTAGGTTGTCTGTGAAACAAGAAAACTCAGACATCATCCTTGTTTACACACATAACTGAAATCAGTTAAAGCCAATTTCATGAGCCAGATGGAAGGGAAGAACCACTGGACACCTCGCAGTTCCCTGTCCATGCATCTCTGTGTCTAAATAGATTGCCAACCAGGTATCATATCAGCAATAGAGCCTTTGTTCACATAGCAATAAACTGAAGTGTACAATTGAGCTTACACTCCACATATAAACTGTATCCAGGACACAACTAACAAAATAACAAGAAGTGAACCATAAAGTTCTTGAAATGTTTAAGAATTACAGGAACTTCCTAAGAAAGAAATAAAAATATTGTGCTTTGTAAAACATCAGTAGAAGTTGCACTGGAGTTGTTTTGTTTGGTGAGTAAACAGAGTCATTTTTTACCTCCTGAAGATGTTGGCTCAAACCCCAAGTGTGACTAAACCGAAAATTTTTCATGAAACCATGCTGTATAATGCAGCCAGCCCTCCACCAATCTGAGGATGAGGACCATGGAAAGAGT